CGATTAAAAATTGCCTCAGGCAAAGTAGACCAAAGTGCAATTGACCAAGTGTCGTAGGGTTCAGGCAATAGGGTTCCCCCAGGCAATCAAATTTCACCAGGCATTTTTGGTTTATGAGTCTGTGACGATCCGATTAAAATGCCTCAGGCAAAGTAGACCAAAGTGCAATTGACCAAGTGTCGTAGGGTTCAGGCAATAGGGTTCCCCCAGGCAATCAAATTTCACCAGGCATTTTTGGTTTATGAGTCTGTGACGATCCGATTAAAAATTGCCTCAGGCAAAGTAGACCAAAGTGCAATTGAAAGTAGACCAAAGTGCATTAAAAAAAGATTACGACACCCCCGATTCCCAGGACGTCTCCGTTCCAAGTACTAAGGAAGCCCAGCGTTGCTTAACTTGCCAGATCGGACGGGATGGCGTGCTTTCAACGCGGTAAATTGCCTCAGGCAAAGTAGACCAAAGTGCAATTGACCAAGTGTCGTAGGGTTCAGGCAATAGGGTTCCCCCAGGCAATCAAATTTCACCAGGCATTTTTGGTTTATGAGTCTGTGACGATCCGATTAAAAATCCCCCCCCCCCCCCCCCAGTCAATCAAATTTACCCAAGGCAATCAAATAATCGACTCAAGTAAAATATATACTCAAGTAAAGGTATGTATATATAAACTACAATTTATAAAAAAGTTAAATAATTGTTTTCTATAGACTCAAGTGTGTTTTCTTAGACTCAAGTTTTTGCCAAAGCATTAAAAAAAGATTACGACACCCCCGATTCCCAGGACGTCTCCGTTCCAAGTACTAAGGAAGCCCAGCGTTGCTTAACTTGCCAGATCGGACGGGATGGCGTGCTTTCAACGCGGTATGGTCGTAATCACTGTGTTTTCAATTTCTCAATATTTAAGAAAAAATTCTCTAAGGCAAAGTGGGCGGGGCTATTTGTTGTTCGCTGTTCGCGGGAATGGTTTAAGGCAAAAAGAAAATGGGCAATTATAAAAATGTGTGGGAGGAAAATTAGGATTAAAAAAATTTTTTTGAAGAATTAAATTTTTTAAAAAAAATAAAGCTTATAATAATAAACTTTAATCTTTTTTTAAATTTAAAGTTTATTATTATAAGCTTTATTTTTTTAAAAAATTTACTGTTATTATTATATTAAGCTTTATTATCAGTTTATTTTAAAGCAGCTTTATTCTAAATCTGATAATAATCATAAGCTTTATAATCCTAATTTTTCTCCAGCTGCAATATTTATTTGGCTCCAGACAATTGTCAGGATTGCCATTGATAACTTTTGTGAAAGTGCCGCTGATAAATTGTAAATAATTTAGATATCTTTTGCAAAGGAAATTAAATATATAATAAGCTGTCATTAATTTTTAATTTCAGATTATTTTCGAGATTTTATTCCAAAATTATCAATATAATCAATATTAATGACAGCTTAATTACCCGCAGACTGGGTAATTCCAGCTCTGCTAACTACCTAAATAAAAGATATCTGGTTGATCCTGCCTGAACTGATGTGTTCATTTCAAAGATTAAGCCATGCATGTATAAGTTTAATCGTTTTAACGAGAAACCGCGAACGGCTCATTACAATGGCCATGATTTACTTGATCTTGATTATCTAAATGGATAACTGTGGAAAAGCTAGAGCTAATACATGCACCAAAGCTTTGTCCTCACGGAAAAGCGCATTTATTAGAACAAAACCACGCGGCTTCGGCTGCTTCTTGTTGACTCAGAATAACTAAGCTGACCGCATGGCCTTGTGCCGGCGGCGTGTCTTTCAAGCGTCCACTTTATCAACTTGACGGGAGCATAATCGACTCCCGTGGTGGTGACGGATAACGGAGGATCAGGGTTCGACTCCGGAGAAGGGGCCTGAGAAATGGAACGTGAGCTGGGTTTAGACCGTCGTGAGACAGGTTAGTTTTACCCTACTAAATACTTGTTGCTATGATGGTAATCCTGCTTAGTACGAGAGGAACCGCAGGTTCAGACATTTGGTTCATGTGCTTGGTCGATAGGCCAATGGCGCGAAGCTACCATCTGAGGCAAAGTAGACCAAAGTGCAATTGAAAGTAGACCAAAGTGCATTAAAAAAAGATTACGACACCCCCGATTCCCAGGACGTCTCCGTTCCAAGTACTAAGGAAGCCCAGCGTTGCTTAACTTGCCAGATCGACGGGATGGCGTGCTTTCAACGCGGTAAATTGCCTCAGGCAAAGTAGACCAAAGTGCAATTGACCAAGTGTCGTAGGGTTCAGGCAATAGGGTTCCCCCAGGCAATCAAATTTCACCAGGCATTTTTGGTTTATGAGTCTGTGACGATCCGATTAAAAATCCCCCCCCAGTCAATCAAATTTACCCAAGGACTTGGGAACGAAATGTTCTTAACCTATTCTCAAACTCTAAATGGGTATGATGTCAAAGTTGCTTGATTTTGAACTTTGGCGTTGAATACGAGTTCCAAGTGGGCCATTTTTGGTAAGCAGAAC